ATAAATTATTCTTGTAAACTTCAAGCTATTTTTATAGCACATGTACATGTGGCATCAACACAATTTCGAATTTTCTCTAAAATTATTTGATTACAATCAAACTTTTTATTAAATATCAAGCCTTTATCTCTGCATTAATGAAAATTTTGCTACATTCGATGCTTCAAATAGACGTACAATATGTATTTTTATACAACACTCTTAAAAAAAAAATAGTTGATTATTGCCATGAATGTATAGAAGTATAGAACCGTATATTTTGAAGAAGGTGTAGACGTGTTCGAAAAGTTTTAATTCAGGCAATGAATCAGGTGAATTTCGCGTAACTTTCGGATAACTTTCGTATAATTCAGCGTTTATGAAAAATCATTTACAAAAAAGTTTATTTGTAAAAATGAATATTCAGAAATACAAACGGTTAGAACATTTACCGTTTAAGAAAATAAAGATGAACTGCATACTCCACGCATGAACACTCAACGATGAAGAACTCATTAATAAACGTGTGGTAAATGAAAGTTAATAAATGTTATTTTAGTGTGCATTAATAATAATTAAATAAAGACTCACAGTATAAAAGTGCATTACAAAGGTAATTTAATAAGTCCTTAGATAATGATGAAAAAAAAAAAACAATATTTTACGGGTAATTTTTCTTTGTAACATAATCTTCTTTTAGTTCAATACACTTTTACAGATGTTCCTCCAACTTGAGAAATCTTCTTCTTAACCACAGAGTTGCGTTCACTCTCAATTGAGAGCAAATGTTGCTCCCATTTTGCAGAATTTTTTTTCGTACCCAATTTATAATGCAAATCTAAAGCCTATTGTTAACAGAGCCTATTGTAACACTTGTAGTCTAAACTATTTTAAGCAATTTAATTCTTTGTTCACTTTAAACCCTATCGCATGTTTTATATCGTGAATTTATGTACATAAGTGTATTAAACTTAATGTTCAATAGTACTGTGTTTAATATACTTTTGTGAGTTTTTACATAATACTAAAACTCATTTTCTTCTGAAAAATTTTAAATCATATTTTTAAAATTTTCGCACATTTAGCAAACTTTACTTGTGAAATGCGATTTTCTAGAGCCTAAACTTTTTTTTCGTTATCAAAACATGAGGATTAAAATAACATTCTAAGATTTAATTTCAAGTGGAAATGAATGTTTGTTTATACACGCAAACAATGGTACAATAAATTATTGAAATTTTCCTGTTTCTTTTCAATACGTACATAAGATATTATCAATTATTTATTGTAAATTGTTCGTGGTTGTACGTCAAAACCAAAGACGTGTATCAAAATTTCAGACACAAGATGACCCGTTGTGCTCGAGCCAAAGGCGAACTCAACAAAAAGGCACTATTCAAGTATCTATTGGATGCCAGCATACTATCCGACCTTCTCCATAATCAGTTGAAGAGCCGCGCTGAAGCCATCACATATGCTGTACCGAAAGATGTCAGGAAAACTCTGGATGACTCAAAACTATCGGAGCTGTTGTTCAGAGACAATCTGGTCGACAGAATTAAGAACAACCAGGCTTGCAACAAGCTCCTTTCCTTTTCAAAGAAAAAAGATCTATATAAGCAGACGGGAGCTTCTAACAACCATTTAAATTACCACGTCCTGCAGAGGCAGAGCTACCCCCAACTGCAGGCATCTCTTGGAGCTCAACAGCTATTATCAAAGCCACCGCAACAACGAGACTAGATGGACGATCGTTAAAAGGATGCCAAATATAGTGTGTTTAAGGAGAACAGGGGCCAAAGGTCCAGACGACTATAAAAGTAGGTACTGCTACTGGCAGGCTTTCCTTATTTATTAATAAATGGAAGAGTCTTCCTTCTTCAAAGTTTACTATCGATTGCATCTCGAACAACAAAATACTTTTGAGTTCTAAGCCTTGACAGTCCTCTGAACCTAAGATCTGTGTCACCAATCCAAGGGAGCTACAATCCCTTAACCTAAGCATCAACGAGTTACTAGAAAAAGGCGCCATCAGAGCATGCACACCTTGTAATGACCCATTCATATATCCCTACTTTCTCAGAAAGAAGCAAGATGGATCTCAAAGGTTAATATTCAACTTGATACAACTAAATAAATTTTTTTTGAAGACTCATTTTAAACTCCAAGATCTGAGATCTGCTGAAAACCTGTTGCTCCAGAACTAGTGGATGTCCAATATTGATCCCAGCACCTTTTTTATGATCCCAGTTTTGCAAATCGGATAAAAAATTTATGCACTTCTGATCTAAGGGCCAACTGTATAAGTTCAACTGTGTATCTTTTGGACTCAGCACAGCACCTAGTACCTTCACTAAACTCATTAAAGTTGTAGTTTATCACCTAAGAGTACACGGCTTTGTATCCACCGTGTATCTATATGATTTTTTTCTGTTATGGCCCAAGCACCAACCTGTGCGCGAAAAACCTTAGAGTAACCATCAAGCTGTTACAACGCATTGGTATCATTATCAACTTTGTGAAAATCTCTCTCATCCCATCAGCACGCTGTAAGTTCCTGTGAGTGATTTTGGATTCTGTCAACTGCAATATCTCATTGATATAGGAGATGCAAATATCATTACTATTCAATCTAAGATCCACTGCGTCGAAAAAATCAACCACTATCAAGAACTTTGCCAAACTAATCAGCAGACTTATGTTTGCATGCAACGGTGTGAAGTTCAGCCTTCTTTATACCAGATCTCAGAAAAGAGGAAAGATCGCAGCTCTTAGCGACGACGGGGGCAGTTTTTCGGTTTGCATGCAGATTCCTAGCTCCGTCTTGTCAGACCTCGAATGGTGGATCAGTAATCTGAACAATCCTAAGGCCATAAAATCCCATTCCTTCGAGCTGGGGGGCAACATATGGCGTAAATGAGGTCTTTGGGACTTGGAAGGTAGACCAAGAACCCTACTACATTAATTTCAAAGAACTGTTAGCAGTGCAATTAGCCTTCGAATCGCTGGCCAACGGATATAAGTGCGAAATTCTCCTCAGGGTTAATAACTACACTGTACAGGGGAAAGGGGGGTATGTAATTTGTATTCTTGAGGACGAGGCATTCTCGTATAATAGAAATCGAGTATCACTTACAGGTAAGTTCGTTTGATCCGTAAATTATATTCATCTTTATATGTATACATGATAGAGCGCGCGGTGGCTCAGTCGGCTAGGTCGTGGATTGGCACGCGGGAGACCGTGGTTCGATTCCCGGCCAGTGCGACTTTACGGGCAAGTACCTCTGTGATTTTTCACATGTACTTTTTCACCACGCAATGCTCCTCGAGGAGGGTTTAGGCGACCTCCTCGCAGCATAAATTGACTAATTTCCCCCTACCCCCCTCCCAGTCATGGGAGGCCTCCCATCCCTCTTCCCTTCCTTCTCCAAAGTGCTAAGTGCCCATAGTAGTGCCCTTATTAAAGGAGCCGGACGTAGAGCACTATAATATATAAAAAAAAAAAAAATGTATACATGTATCTTCCCAAATTATGAAATCACTTTCAGAAATGCTAAAAAATTTTCTTTTTACAACATTTCCTACGCTTTGTGTAATCCTGATATATGTTATGTACTAATTTTAATCGTTTTTTGTAGTTTTGAATTATTGAATTAATCCTCCTCTATACTACTTCCTTTCCCGCAATCCAAACACTCTTTTTAAAACCTCTTACTAACCTACCTTCCCACTACATCCTTTTACAGCTCCCGCAAAAAATAAGAAAAAATAATTATTACTCTTATTTTTCTTATTAACGTTCCATGTTTCTTATTTCCTCATGCATTCCTACTAAGATTTACATTTTTTTACAGAAATCCCTTTTCATCTCCATTACACTTTCTCTGAATATCTCCACTCAGTTTTCTCAACCTTATAACAAATCTCTATGTGGCATAACAATGACTCCTGAATAACTACATTATCATTAAGTCCACGTGGTCTCTAACTGGAAGTTTTAATGTAAAACTTACAATTTTAAGCGTACCATCCCTAGTTTAAAGTTAATCATTATAACTAACCTTCTTTAAAACTTAGATAATTTTAAAGTCTTATAATATAATAGATTTGTCATATTTGATAGGTTATCTTTCCTCATGGCTCTTATAATCTCTGCCATGTATGATTCTTAAGGTTTCAAACATGTATCGGTACGATTGAATGACTCACTCTACGTTTTATATGGGAAATTTTAAAACTTGAAAAACTACGAATAAGAGCCCGGAAAAAATTTTATAGATCTTATTTTCAAATAATGAAATAGTGTAAGAATAATATTAATCCAAGCAGTAAGGGTTATCGTATTTTCAGCTTTGGTTTGCCAACAGAAAACCTACACTGTTTTTATGTTAGACGACATATTGTGACAAATCTGTTGTTATTTTGCTGAAAGATGCTATAAAAAAATTTGTAGCTGCAAGAATTATTCCATTTTGTTCTGTTTTGGCTCCTAATGATCAGGTAATTAATAGTAGTAATGCAAAATGATTTCGTTAAAACGTACGACATAATTCTGCAGAGTTCAATGAAATAAAACACAAGCAAAAAAAATCTCGCAAGTGAAAGAGAATGATACAACACCTGATGTCTGCAAAGTGATTGCTGTTATAAAAAAAACTTGTCCTATAGAGAAAGATATTGATCATTCCATTAAATAAAAAATATTTATCTGCAGAAGTAAATGCTGTTAATTATGTTATAATAAAATCATATCAATGCTATGATTATAATAAACTAATGCTTGTCCAGAAAGCATACATTTTTTTACAGTGGATGAACAAAGACTTGGAATTCAGAAACACCTGGTTATCAAACATTCAAAAGGATTACATAAAAACGATTTCAGTAGAACTCATATACATATAGTATGCAAATGACAAGTTACTCTGCAAAATTATTTTTACTATTAAAACTATTCAACAAATCATATTATTTTTATTTTAATACACAGTTATAAGAAATTACGGTAATACCAGACTTACATGTGGATCTTCCAAATGTGAAAGACAGCCAGCTCTCTGTTTGACATGGAGGACACAATTATTATTTAAGATGTTTTCTAGCTGTTGAAAATGACGATCCTTCTCTAATATAATTTTCCAATATCTATCATCAGCTAATTCAATTTTACTTAATCTATTGAGTTGAGGTAATAAGTCAGGAGCCTTCATTGAAACTCTTTGACCTTCTTGTTCTGAAGATGATTGAAAAGTTATTCTCATTTTTGCGTAACAAAATTTTTTGCTATCAATATCTTTCGGCAACAGCAACCGTGGGTCAACAGCAAGTACATAGAAATGTCTCAAGGCTTGTAAATGATACCTGAAAAACATATACCTGTAGCTAGTATGTAACGATTTTACTATTTGGTTTCAAAACATTGTTAAACATGTTTGCAAAGCTCATTTAATGGACAGCTGATGGTTATTTTTGAAATAATTTTGCACGCAATTAAACTCTACATAATTGCACCCGTGAGAACCTTACAAGCGTTAACATAAAGCCTGTTGACTTAGATTTATAAACATCAAACTTCTTCTCAGATATCAACAAAAGTGATTTGACTTCACATGTGAATCCGAGAGTGAGCAAACGTAGTTGCGTGCATATTTAAATATTTAATAAGTCACGGTATCGAAGTATAAATTTTATAAACAATATTATACGATTCTGTGCATCTTTTTTGTGTACAATTAAGTATTGGTGTAGAGGAAGTGACAACATTATCTTTTAGTAAGTGGAATGACTCAGGCACATGATCGCGTGGGCTTTCAGACAAAGAGAAGACTAGTGTTTAAAATGTCAGTCAAAAAAGGTGATAAAAATAGTAAGGAAGAGGAAAAACAACAAAAATAAGTAGGAAGACAGTGCAAAAGGTATAGAATTAAATGTATAATAACTCAAACGAAAAAGGTGAAAACGTTATAAATTGACAACGTAACGGTCGAGAAAAGTGATGAAAAGATACGAGTCGGCTGTCAATAGATGAAAACTTTGCGAAAAGTAGTAAATCTAGTATAAAAAATAGTTTTGAAATTTTCAGGTTGCAAAATACAAAGGATTAAAACTGATCCACTAGAGAAGTATATGTAGAAAAAGTTGTCTATGAAGAAAAGACCAATAAGGTTAGAGTAGAAGTAGAGTCGTACTTTAAAACATGGCAGGTAAAGTTCACATTAGAAAAAAGTGAGAGAAATTTGAGAACACTAAAAGTAAGAATGAATGGCAACGTAAACAAAATAATTAGATTAACGTAAGTAGTTTTTTCGAGACCGAAGTAAACTCAATTAAAAAAATTCATCAAATGGCAAGATAAATAAGACAGCATAATAATGTTTTTATAAGCGTAACTTGATACAAAAATATTCATTACGACCTAAATCTACTTCTTTAAAGGGAATTTGATTTTATATTAAATACAGTATGCATAGGAAAAAGTAGTAGCATATTATAAGTTTGAAAAAAGAATTACTATAGGGGAGGATCTGAATAAGATGAAAAAGACGTGGAATATCAAATAAATGGGTCAAGAGTAAAATAAGAGACAGTGTACAAATTAAGAGTGGCTATGACGCTTTTTAGCTAGACAAAAAGAATACGAAGAAAGTACAAGCCAACACCAAACAGCATTTTTTAACTCAATCCTAGAGAAAAGGTTTGTAATACTTCGACAGAAGTGTTAACAAGACGTAAGTAGACAAAAAATAATAAGTTATGAGTAAGAAAAAATTTTTTTTTCAAATTGTGCAGATATTTTGTTTAAAAATGAAAAACTTTAAGGCTCTATAAATAAACGTAGTATCTATTCGCACGTAAATCAACATTATTACGTGGATACACGCATTTGCAGTCAGCAGTTCTATTGTCGGTTGTTATATGGTCCAAGTTCATTCTCTTTTCCGAGCGAGCATAGCAGGCAACACACATACGCATTTCTACGTAATTATATGGATTAGCATCCGAATTGAATCAATGAAAAAAAAAATTTTATAAGTTTCTAGAAAGAGAAAAATTTAAAAGTTCGTGAAATAAAAAAGTCAGTGAAAACAATTTACGCTTATAAAAGAGAACTTTGTTAAACACATTTAGATGGACATCAAAGAATTTGATGATTAATCAGTTTTAAATAAAAGAAATGTCAGTCAGATAGTACGATCCAACAGTAAGAAAATGGTGGCGTAGCTCTTGTAAGGTTGAAAACAAGAAGGTAAAAGCAGTCTACATTGTATAGAGGTAAAACTATAGTGATAGAGCAATCCATATAAAATACAGGAGACAATGGAAAAAACATTGTGTAATGAATGAAATGGAAAAATGTAGTAGGGGAAAACTTTTTAGTAGGACATCAATATAAATATACTAAGTTGCTTATTGGTGTCAGCAAGATAAAAAAAATAAAAGCAAAGATACAATTTTGTAAATAAAAGAACATGTATCAAATGTTTGGTAAAAAGGTGAAGTTGGCAATAACAGTACTAAAATAAGGTAATAGCTCATACAAAGTACTAAAAAAAGTTTGAAAAATTTTCTGGCCAAAGCTATTTTGACATGATTTTTTTGTTTTGTTTAAGAAATACAAGAAAAATTTTAGAAGACTAAAAAACAGCTGCTGTCATTCCTTTACTTTAAGAGACTGATGAAAACGTGTTAGAGAATCGTAGAGATACTTTCTTTCTGCTTGTATCATATAAAATATGTACAAAAGTCTTGAAAGAGAGACTGGTCAAAGAAATAAAATATAAGTGTAGACCCTCCGATTGCCAAACTGAAATTTAGATAGGACAGGCTCACTACGAATAACGTGTAAGTCTTAAATTATAGTGTACTAGAAGTTTAGTCAAAGTCTATGCAGGGTAGGTCCATTTTTAGGTAGTTTTTGACATGGTTACAAAAAACAAATTGTTTGAATTTTTAGTTAGCCTGCCCTATCTAAACGGAAGATGAAAGCAAATATTTAATAGATATATGAAAGAAATTAGTTTAAAAAGAATCTATTGTTAGAGTAAAAGGTAAAACGGAATGATTGCAAAGGATTTGAAGTGTTAAAGAATTGAGGTATATGTGTCCCAAGCAAAATACTAAGCTGTATTTATAGAGCTGCAGTGAAAAAAAGAACTAGTCGAAGGACAAAAGTCTGAATGTTAGTAGAAAAAACAAAAATTTTAGTCTTCAACGAAAGTACAAATCATAGTAAGAAAAAACTGTTGTATGAAAGGCAAGAAATAAAAAAAGTTAAATCATTAAAATACTCATGCTTCATTTCTAATAGGGACTCAAACTAGAAAGAACACTTAAGAAATACAAAAAGGGTAGTATAGCCTTCAAAAAAGAGTGGAAATAGGGTGAATAAAGTTTTTAAATAACTTAAGGATTAGAAAAATGCCATTTCATTATTTAATTTAGAGTGTGATGTCGTTCGGAGCAAAGATTTATAGTTAAAGAGAAATAAATAATGAATAACGTGAATCATGTAAAAAAAAAGGAGATTAAGTAGCACTGGTTAGCAGTTAAAAATTGAAATGCATCGTACAATGAGCACTGCAAAAGTATGACATGCAAAATGTTACAAACATTCTTATATATATATATACATATTGTAAAGATAGTAACACATACATGTGTTACGTGGGATTCTCGGTGCGGGAATAAATAGAAGCGTGACTTGTTATTACTTATAATTTATTAGAATTACTTATATTTAAGGAAAGTTGTGCGTGTATTCGTGTCTCACGGACTTCATCCTTCCGCTCTCGCGTCTCTAGCTGATCTCCCTGTCCCTTCTCTCTCCCTTTCCTATCACTTCTCTTCTCTATTCCCCTACCTTTCAGGCCCAAGCCAGCAGAGGCGCACGCACGCATAGCTCTATACTATCATACGTAACACGTCCGAGGCTGCGACACCGACGTCCTCGGCGGCGATTTTATTTTTGATGTGTATGTCTATGTTATGTTGTTTGTGTTGTAAAGCATTTTCCGGTTAGAGGAAAGAGGGTGGTTTGAAGCGCTCTATCCCTATTTCCTCTACTGGTTTCATTCGCTGTATTTTATGAGTATACATTTTTTTTGTTTATTGTTTGCACGTTTCCCTTGTACAAAAAAATTTATTCTAGAATTCGCTTAGTTACTTATATTATATAATCGCTTAACTACATTTTTCTTGTTTTTATTTATGTACATATGCACTATACTTATGATAACAATTTATTCTCGCATTGGATAATAATTAAGATATTTGTCAGTTTCATATTTTTTTTTACTTTTTTTTTTTTATGTCAAGGATGTCGAGGGTCAAGGTCTTACTACGTTCATTAAATTTATTATTAATAAATTTTTTCTTCGTTTTGGTTACTTGGACAAGTATTGCCCTTGTATCAGTACGCCACTTAGATTTGTCTTGATACTTTCCTGTAAAATTATTGCTGGTTTCAATGCCAAACTATTGTCCATTGACGTCTCGTTGGCTCTCCAACTAATGTTCTTTCGCTTGTTACCTGAAATTATTCTATAATAAGTCAGTAGCTGGGCCCCCCATGGGAACGGCACTTAAATTCGACCATTGTGATAAGAAAGAGAAGGCAAGTTGAGTTAATATGCTGAATCTTTGCACTTAACGTAACAGAAGAAAAATGATTTGTTTAATATTTAATATATGCTAATAGATTTTTTCATTAGGTACTTATTTTTTTTGCACCCTTTTTACACATACATTTTTCTGGCCTCATGTTAAATTCTTATTTTTCTGTAACAATTTTTTTTTTTTTTGTAGAAGATGCTCATACTAATTTTCTTATTAAATATAAAAGTAGTTCCCTTGTTCAGTTTATTTTAGTCTCGTTATGTCAACGAATCTCCAGAATTTCCAGTTTTTGTTGTCATCCTCTGATACCCGTTGATTTTGATAGTAGGTAAGGAATATCAGGATTGACCATAAATAAAGTACTTAACGGAATGTAGCTACGTGCGTAATTGGTAAAAATTTTTCAATTGCAGCTGCATTTCTTGATAATAGAAATCAAAAAAATTTGAAAATAAGATTTTTTTTTTTTTTTTTTTTTTTTTAAAAATTTATATTTGTTTGCAATATT